ATATATTGCATCTATGGAAAAATAGAAGATTGGTTCCAGTTCCAAGAAATCAGCAAAAATAATGTAATCAACCATGAGTTTTCACGTTAGGATCTTAAACATTTTATTTCATAAAGATTGCACATGGATCGTACAAAGTAAATTATCATTTGAAAAGGAAAGAAACATGTCGCTAATTCACGAACACAAAAATTAAGCAAGATAATATGAATTACACGTAAAAAGATTTTATGCGTTGCCACTTTCTGACAATAAACGCATACGTTTGCGTAATACTGCAATATTACTGCTATCACTAGAAATGTTTTGGTTATCGTCTTCGTGCTCCATTGGTGAAATTCTTTCTGTAATCTCTTGAACAAAATTAGAACTAGCCTCCTGTGGTGCCGATGTTTCAGTGGATTTAAGAACGAATTCGGTAATTAATCTTTGTGTTTGTGTTTTGGCTAAACCAAAAATTTCGGTCGGTCGTGTTAAATCAAAATAAGTCGTGGAAAAAGAGAATTCAATTTTTTTCCTAATTCGTGTTAAATCAAAATCGTGTGAAAGAAGTTCGTGTAAAAACAGAATTGGGTGTACACAATATCGAATTTACATAATACAGGTAGCCCCCCTACAACTCGGTATCCTATAACACGGTTTCACTATAACACGATAAGAAAATTGCAAAATCCTTTGTACAACACTGTACTTCTACATAAGCAGTGACGACGAAGAAATTTATTAAATTAAAGTTGCGTTAAATTAAAACAATATTTATGAATTTCTTTTGTTTTGTGTCGTACATACATTTATATTTTCAATAAAAATTAAGTTCTTTATGTAGAATTAAAACAAAAATTTGTTTGTAATAACTTTTCGAAACGTAACCTTTTTTACTGGCACTGGGTCTCGTACAACACGGTTTCACAGAACACGGTATTTTCTAGGAACCTATGTACCGTGTTATAGGAGGGTTACCTGTAATTTATTGTATATATAATACCGTGTGTATATCTTAGTATCTGTAAGACTTATTATACATAATTGTTTATTTCGGCCCTTTGGCCCAGAAATGGATTTGGCTTACAATTTGAATCACACACATCCCTCCACTCTGTCTACTATTCGCACTCCTGCTACCTGCTTTCTCTATTTTTTCCCTCCATTTCTCTACCTCTCAATCACAGGTCTATGGTTCTAGCGTTAAATCATACTGTCGTCTCGGGTCGTACCATTATCTCGAGCAATACGCTTTATCGAACGGAGATAAATTTCCTAAAATTCGAAATGGGACTTAAAAATCGTACTTACACGAAAACGCAACTTTCCACGATCAGAGGTACTAGTTTTAGATCATCGAACCCGGTCAAACGAGTCTTTCGAGACTTAACGCGTAATATCGATCTTGCCTAATTGACAATACTTGCCCGATTAAGTATTATCGATCGCGTGATCTATCGGCGCGACTTTTTCACCGGTGCCTGTGCTCGAGACGCGTTGGTTAAGGATATCCCCGAGGATGGAAAAGACTCTTGATCCACGGCGTCTGGGAGACATCCGCGTAAATATTTGTGCCTCGATTCTCGAGCGGAGCGCAAACGTACGTTCGCTCGGCTCGGATCGACGTATTTTTGAAGCGATGTAGGCGCAACAGGTTGGGAATGACTCCCACCTGTTGCAATCGTGTAGCAGACCCACGCAACGAGTAGCCTCAGCCTGGAATTCGATTACAATTTCACCCAACTACGTTATTCCTCGGGATCGCGTGGCGAGTAGCGATAGCACAACGATGAGTCTACTTTCCAATTCGCAGCCGATTCTTTTTCCGCTTCGAATTCGGTGATACGAGTTTTACTCCGCGCCATAGGATGGTATACTAGGACGATCCTGTTCGAGTGAACTTGCAATTCCGAATCGTTCGCAATGCTACTTGAATATAGGGACATTTCAAAGTATTGCAAATTTTGGAATTTGCAAATCCGAAAGTACAATAGCTCGAAAATTCGCAAGTTAAAAATTAACAAATTCGAAGATTCGAAATTTTGAGAATTCAAGTATTGCGGAACTGCGATCAAAATTAAAAGATTGAAAAGATTGGAAGGACTGGAAATCCAAAAGATCGGAGGATTTGGAAATTGAGAAGTTGAAATTGAAAAATTGGGAGAAATGAAAATGGAGACATTCGAGGGAATAATAATCCTCCGTGAGTTTCCGTGGAACTGTGCGTTGCGGACCACGCCTTAAGTCGATCGCAGCGCGTGTTGGTAATGGAAAGAGATGGAAAATGGAGGATGGACAATAGTGAGGGTGGTGAAAAAAGCAACGAGCGGTTGCTCTTTGGTTAATGGGACGTGGATTAATTGCGGCTACACCAGGATGCGTACGTCTGGCCGTACGCACATGCGGGTCGTGTAAATTGAAACAAGACACTATTCGAATCCGGCGCTGCACCGTCGCCGGTGCGATCGAACGCGCAAAAATAGAACAAACACTGTGAACGCGCTTCGAGCCCAGTGAAAGTATCCGTTGCGACGAAAAAACCCCGTGTAACGTATGCGCGGAATAAAGAATGATCTATCGGCCGAGATGGAAAAATGTCCGATACAAACGAGATCGTTCCAACGCTTTGTCGTTTCGAATTTACAACGAGAAACCTTCGATCTTTATATTCCGTCGCCATTCCAACCTTTCCGCCGCTCTTTCCTATTCTCTTTTCTTCGTTTCCACTGTAATATTACGCATTCGCGGTACACGTGCCTACGCAAACGCACCGACACGCGATAGAAAATTCTGCGTGGACGGATTACGAGTACGCAAACGTGCGCATGCCCTGTCCTCACCCGATGCTCTCGCTCCCTCTATCGACGTCCCGCCGTATGGCGCGAATTTTGAACAGCGAATAGGGCGCGACAGGCGGCACTGGAATCGCCCCGGCGAGAAAATCGCGACGCCATTTCCGTTTGTCCGATAGCGCTTGACGATTTCCCCATTACGTGGAGTTGAAAGGAAAAATAAGGTTCGTCTAGACAGGCGCGCAATTAAAAATTTTGACTCGATTAGCGCAACGCGCCGCGCGTTAATTGTCCTTCGTGCGCTTTAATTCGTCTTCGTCCACTGCGCAACGCTCTCGCTGCACGCTTTGATCCGCGCGCGCGCGCCTTGTCCTCCGTGGCTCGAGGTTTCTTCACGGACGAAGACCGCCGGGTAGAGATAAAGAAGGAAGGAGGAAACAGGAGGAGAGAAGAAGAGAGAGAGAGAAAGTGCTTCTATACACGCCATTCACAAGAGCGTGCAGACTGCGAGTAACGAGAAGGCGAGATACGCGCGCGCGCGCACGCGGAGAGAGGAAAAATCAGCGAGCGCGGTAACGGACTATAATCTTACAAAGAAATAATTATTCGCGGGTAGATCCGATTCTAGTGGTTTGCCTTCGTTCGTCCGGATTCGAACGAAATCGTTCCCTCTGCTGCTCCTGTTCCACCGATCGAAGGTTAATCGCGCGATCCTTGCTTTTTCCATCGTATTCCAAACGCCAGAGAAGCGAATCTTTCCAACTCCATACCAAGTGATTACCATTCGCGTTAAAACGTAAGGCACGCAGGTGTTCGACGTTTAGAAAGAGCAATGCGTGACGAATTTAGCCGTGACCCACAGAAGGCGAGTATACGCGAAGGACGCTGGAGGAAAATTTAGAAAACCAACGTGCAGATGGCGTATCTCGATACGTCCAAATTTAGGAGGCTCCTTCTGCCGGCCTCCGGTTTGTTTTCCGCCGCCGAGTGCCGCCCACGCGATTTAAGACTCGTTAACGCGGCCCCGTGAGTTAAATAAATCGTAACCGCTACGTGTTTCTACGTCTATAATCTTATTGGGGACGATTAGGCGACGGGAAGTCGCGATACGTTCAGTTATCCCGCAAATTTAGCGCACGAGCAGAGAGAGGCCTGGTAGTAATTACACGTGCAATAAAATCCAGCGTACCTGACGAGTGCCCACGCACAGGCATCGGTTACCACGTCGATAGTAACGAACACGGCACGTGCAGTTTTCTATGGCACATCGCGCGCCACGAGCCTCCGCCGTGATCCAACTTCCGTCGCAATAGCCGGTGTTAAGGACATTGCCACGCTACGAATTGGTTAAACAGTCCACCGACGCGTCATCTCGCACGCGAGACTGAAATATCCGTTGGAAACAGACGAATTTACGCCCGCTTCGCGTTCCGTAGAAAACGATTACGCGCGTCCCGATTAACCGCGGATTCTCGTTAGGAAACGCGAGTCAGCGGATGCTTTCGACGAAAAGGAAGGACGATGGATGACGGGTTATGGAAGAAGCGGCGCCTACGACGGAAAAGCGTTGTTTCAGTCGGACAGAGAACAGAGAATATGTTGTATATACGGTGGCTCGGACGGACGGAACGACAGACAATTATGCCGAATGGAACAGCACGCCTCGGTAAGCGGAACTAAACGAGAACGGTACATCCTACGATCTGTTGCAAAAAGTTCCAAGCTATTCCACACGCTATCCGTTCACAGCGGGACCATTCTTGAGGATACGTACCGAGAGCAGAACGCTTTCGAGACGCAGAGAGTACGAAGTACCTCGCGATGAGTCTCCGGAGACGATAGTCCAGATAAGACGTTGTCTACGCGAAAAATCTTATCTCCGGTTAAAAAGAGAGATTGCAATTTCGTAAGCGCGAAACAAAAGATCGCTTTACGTAGTCGGACACACGCGCGAACTCTCGTTGCGAATAATCGCACCTCGCGAAAATCGTAAATCTTGTTGAGAAACCTTAACAAGACGGAATAAAGTCATTTGCGTCGTACGACCAATAGTAAACCGATAATTTGTCTCGAAGCTTATTCTATTATATCAAATAAAGGTACGTTTCGTACTGTATTCGAATTTTATGACAGAATACGTTTGATTGAAACGTTCGGTACTATATACGTGCGAGAGAGAACGTAGAGAGACCTTCTAAAATTCAGCAGACAAACACAGAAACATACCTTGTCGAGGCACTTGAGCTCCTCGATCGGGTAGACCGTTTTCTCGCAGCGGGCGTTTCCCTCCCTCTCAGCCGCAGTTCCGCGTACGTATGTATCTTGGCCTCTTGTCTTCACGAAACACTGCGCGAACGTAAAGAACACGTGTAACACTAACGACACATCCGCGTGGTCTTTTGTATCGAAACGGTCGCGGAAAATCGACGGCCAAGCACGTTTACGATGTAAAATTGTTTACGAGTTTTCTCCAAGACAACCGCCACGATGAAGAAAATGCACGCCAGCAGAAAACCTCGAACTGCACGGGTGCCACAGAGCCGCACCAAACTGCACTGCCCTCTCGTCCTCGTCTAGCCACAAAAACTCCTTGAGTGACAGTAATGGTGGTATACTACGCTAGTCAGACGAGCAACCAAGCGTATATATTTATCAAATTTTTTCGAATTTTTTTCCTCGATAAATTATCCATACGAAGTTTTTAATTTATGACAAACGACGTGCTAATTTTTCCTTCGCGATATTAATTGAAATATTGATCGAAATGTAGCTATATTTCGTACAATGCGTCGGTAAAGTAGAACGAGTAAAAGATACCTCGATAATTTAGAATTATTCTTCGATAATACATTTTTTAACCTTAAATTGTATCCTTGGAACAGAATTATAGTTGAGATAGAGCTATAATTAGTATTAAGATAGTACTATAATTGGTACGTTTATCTCACCTGGAAAATTTTTAAACCATTAAAAGGTTTGACATACCACGCTAATCAATATAACATATGTGTGCTATTTACGTCTATCAGTAATTTAATTTTCGCACAGCTAAAATTGGATATAAGTAGTTAAGGAATACATACGCCAATTTTAACGCTATTATCGTTGTTTGTACCATAAATACAGATAACCTTAAAATACAACGTACATAAATATCAGCGTGACAAAGCCGATAAAGTAGAAAACTGAGATATATGTAAAAACCACACTAAAACAATTCGTTTTTGTCTCATACTTTATCCTCTATGTAATTATATTCCGCAACGTAAATAACGTTAACCTTTATTATTTAATTTAGTGTTTTTAATTTGTTACCGACACTTCACGATCGTTCCGTCTTGTAGCGCACTCTATCCAGTCACTAAATTCTTTTAAAATTTAAAATAAAAAATATCCCCTATAATGCCTGAAACGTGACTCGTTATGTATAAAAAATTATATTCGTTTATTGAAACATATCACACAATGGCAGTGTAAATAGTTACATCGCAAAAGTTATAAAACTTTTATAATTAATATTATTTTTGCCCTTTGAGGAACTGATAAACGAAACTGAAGTCTTTCTTTGCAGACCCATGAGCGATAATGGCCCTATAAATTTGATGAGCCAGAGAACCTAAAGGAATAGTTGCTTCTACCTTCGTCGCGGCAGATTGCACCAGTCCCAAATCTTTGGCCATTAAGCTCACTCCAAAACCGCCCTAAAAATAAATCCATTAAACCCGCTAATCAATCAAATCTCATAGATTACGATAAAAAAAAAAATATAATTAAATACCTCATAGTTTTTCGAGCTTGGAACATTATCGAGGATATCTGGAACAGGATTGTACAATTCGGAAGACCAACACCTACCGGTACTCGAGTTCACAACGTCAGCTAACAATTTAGGATCTAGACCTAGTCTGGGACACTATAAGCTCAATAAAATGGTTACATTTATACCGTATCGTATATTAAATACTCTGTATATTACCTTTGTCCCAGGTTAAAAGCTTCGGCAGTACCGATCATGCTAACAGCCAATAGCATGTTGTTGCACAGTTTAGCTGCCTGACCCATCCCTACGTCTCCGCAATGGATTACTCTGGAGCCCATAGACTTTAGAATAGGCTTGGCAAGCTCGAAATTTTCCTTCGAACCTCCCACCATGAACGTTAAGGTGCCATCTTTAGCTGCATTCACACCTAATGAAATTAAGATTCGACGATGTAGCAAAATTGCGAAACATTTCTTTCAATAACAATATACAGCATCGTTACCTCCGGACACTGGACAGTCTAAAAAACTGACCCCAGACGTCGCAGCACTTTTTCCTAAAGTTTGAGACACAAACGGATCTATCGTGCTGCTATCGATTAGGAGAGTGTTCCTCTTGGCCGAACTGCGAGTGAACAAAGGAGGCTTCAGCGCCTTGTCTCGAAAGATAGCGTGGTTGGTAGTGTTCGATGACGCTTAACAAACACGGTGGCTACTTCATTACCTTAATAGACCATTATTCATATTGTAAACGTCCAGAACGTGTTGATTAGACGGTAACATCGAAACGACCACTTCGACGTCTTCTGCCACCTCAGCAGGGCTCGAGGCTCTGTCAGCGCCTACCTCCGCCAAATTCGACACAGCCGATTCGTTGACATCGAAAACGACCAGTTTGTGACCCTGTGGAAATCGATATACCTCGTTCTTAATCTGGAACAGTCTGGATAATTCATCGTACGTGTAATTACCTTTCTTAAAATACTCCTCGCCATGTGGCCGCCCATGTTGCCCAAACCGACAAACCCGACTCGCGAAAAGAATCGTTTCCCTGGATTACACAGAGAAACAAATCGCGGATGAAAAATAACTATTATTTATTACCGTTACTACCACTTGACGCTTCTCTTTTTATTGCAAGAATATATTCATTAAAGAACTACCTGTAGCATTACGGACGACATATTTCATCGACGAACCAAAGACGCTCATTATTGAAATGCTGGTCTCGCGTTATCTCAAGCAAATTGTTAGCTATCCTTGAACTTTTATGCTCCGTAATAGCACCGTGCGTGAAGGTTGCGCGAACTGCTGATTAACGCGGAACTTAATTAAAAATGTCACGTAACAGCACGCATACGAGAGGGAGATGGTGCGTTTAACCGCGGACACAGCGAACGAAATACGTATAATGCCTTCCCGCACGAGGTTTTGCCCTGTGACGTTGCGCATAAAATTTCTAGAGAAACTAATCGAGCTGCTCAACGTTTGAATAATGTTTACCATGAGAATAACGAGCATGTTATCGACAAGAGTTCATGCCTCGCCGACTAGATAAGCTGTATTGCAGTCATTGCGTATTGCTGTACGTACCGATTTTCGAGTTTCAATCAGTTGGGTGACACAATCGTTCCATGTGGTGTCATACTTCTTCTAACGATCGATAATTAACTACTTCATGAATTTACACGTGTCACGAAACGAGGAAAGTTGAAAATAGCTGATTTGATTCGAGAACGTTTAAATCATTTACGAAGGTCTGAATTTTTCAGTCTCGTTCTAAAACATCGGACGTAATCACATGTTTACTATGCGTGACGAGTAAAAGAAGTGGATGTAGCGACGAACGATAAGTAACGTGTGTTCCTCGTGACGAGTACGTAATGTCATTTTCTTCCATCATCTCTCGTACGAGTCATCGATTAATGTTTCAAGGTGTCGTCAATTAAGTAGCAACGAAACCATAAATACAGCCCTGTAACTCGCCAGTAATTACGCGTTTTGTGTCAACTGCAAGCTGTAATTCTGTTTGCTTGGAATTCTTTATCGCTGCCCTTATCTGCCGTCAAATTGCACCCTCAACATTTACGTTTGTGTACACTGGAGTACTTAAATTGCACGTATAGCCGTGTTCGGCAGCCTGTGTATATATTTGCGCCACCCTCTACGTCGAATCGTATTCCCAGCAGCCTGAGAGCAGGCCCAGGCAGAGCGTGACACTCCGGCTGGATACACTTGTCCTACGTTGACACAGAGATCTTGATGAAAAAAGGAATATAACGACACTGAACTACACGGGAAACTGGCGATCGAGGGATTAAACGGAAAGCTTCCGTTCCTCGCGAAAAGACCAGCGTTTGTTTGCGAAACATCGCGATCAAGTTGCGCGTGTAATGAATTAAGCAACAGGAATGTTTCGTTTCCAACGATAAGAATTCGTCGTGAAGGCGTATTTGCTGATTCACTATTGCGTAACAATCGTTCTGTCAGTGACTGCTAGTATGTGGGATATTGTTAAAGAAACGAAGAGCGAGTCGTGGATCACGGACGAGAATTTTACAGACATTATCGAATTCGCGTTTTCCCTTTTCCAAATGTTGCAAACGTTTCCTAGAAAAGTTCGTCGAGGTAGAATAATGGATTAAATGAGAGGTATCTTTAGTTTCTTCGGCAGTGTATAGATTTTGAAATTCCATTCAGACTCGACGGGTTCTGAAGTACTGTTCGATCAGTTCAGGAGCATCTATCCATACGATTACCTCTTGAAGCGGAGTATGTACGAATGCCAGGGGTAACTCATGCTGGGGTCGAGTGACAAGAAAATCCAGGAGATTATGAAAATGTGAAACGAAATGATCGTGTTTTAATTCATAATGTTTGTCAATATTTTAATAAAGAAATACTTGTTTTATCGCAGAGTAATATTAAAAAGGAACGAAAAAATTGAGGAAACTTCTTCTTCAAACCTACGATATCTGAATATCGTAATCAACAATCGAAATATGGAATCCATAATCGATAATAGATAACTCAGTAGTAGCTTTATACAATATGCCTTACCGTCACATTACTTCGCACCATAGCACGTCAAAATGGAACAAAAATTGGGAGAACTATTAAAATACTGTCTTTTCCAAGCTATGTAAACTAAATATCGCAATTAACAGTCGAAATATAGAATCTACAATCGAAATTATCTAACTACGCAGAATCTTTATATGATTTGAACCCTCGCCACTTTATTTCCCGCACAACATATCAAAACCGAAGAAAATTTTGAAAGGCTACTAGAAAATTGCCTTTTTTAGCTATGTAAACTAAATATACTAATCGACAATCAAAATCTCGAATTTAAAATCGATATTACGTAATTACGCAGTATTATTATATCATATAGGCACCAGTCGCCTTACTTCGCATGTGGCATGTCAACATCGAAGAAAAATTGAGATAAGTATTAAAAAACGACCTTTTTAAAACTATGTTAACTAAATATCACAATTCACTGTCGAAATTTTTAATCTAGAATCGATTTCAGATAACTACGCATTACTATTATACCATACGAACACCCGTCGCTTTATTTCACACTTGGAATGTCAAAATAGAAGAAAAATTTAGACAACTATTAAAAAAACTACTTTTTCGATGCTGTGTCAAATAAATATCACAATTCACTACCGAAATTTTTAATCTAGAATCGATATCACATAACTACGCATTACTATTATACCGTACGAGCACCCGTCGCTTTATTTCACACGTAGAATGTCAAAATAGAAGAAACATTTGGACAACTATTTAAAAAAGTGCTTTTTCGAAGCAATAGTAACTAAATATCACAATTCACTGTCGAAATTTTTAATCTAGAAACGATATTAGGTAACTACGCATTATTATTATACCACACGCACACCCGTCGCTTCATTTCACACGTAGAATGTCAAAATAGACGAAAACCTTGGACAACTATTTAAAAAACTGCTTTTTCGATGCTGTGTCAACTAAATATCACATTTCACTGTCGAAATTTTTAATTTAGAATTGATATCAGGTAACTACGCATTACTATTGTACCATACGGCTACCCGCCGCTTCATTTCACACGTAGAATGTCAAAATAGAAGAAACATTTGGACAACTATTTAAAAAAGTGCTTTTTCGAAGCAATAGTAACTAAATATCACAATTCACTGTCGAAATTTTTAATCTAGAAACGATATTAGGTAACTACGCATTATTATTATACCATACGCACACCCGTCGCTTCATTTCACACGTAGAATGTCAAAATAGACGAAAACCTTGGACAACTATTTAAAAAACTGCTTTTTCGATGCTGTGTCAACTAAATATCACAATTCACTGTCGAAACTTTGAATCTAGAATCGATATCAGGTAACTACGCATTATTACTATACCATACGCACACTCGTTGCTTCATTTCACACGTGGAATGTCAAAATAGACGAAAACCATGGGCAACTATTTAAAAAAGTGCTTTTTCAAAGCTGTGTCAACTAAATATCACAATTCACTGTCGAAATTTTTAATTTAAAAACGATATCTTAGCAACTAAATATCACAATTCACTGCCGAAATTTTTAATCTAGAAACGATATTAGGTAACTACGCATTATTATTATACCATACGGCAACCCGCCGCTTCATTTCACACGTGGAAAGTCAAAATAGACGAAAAATGTGGGCAGCTATTAAAAAAAGTGCTTTTTCAGAGCTGTGTCAACTAAATATCACAATTCACTGTCGAAATTTTGAATCTAGAATCGATATCAGGTAATTACGTATTACCATTGTACCATACGGCGTCCTGCCGCCTCATTTCGTACGTGTCACGTCAAAATCAGAGAAAATTGGATATAATAGAAAACTATCTTTTCTAAGCTATATAAACTGAATATCGAAATCGTCTATCGAAATCTAGAATCTAAAACCAATAATAAGTATTTGCGAAAAATGGCAATGTGATGAAAGTATCGTGATAGTTAAATAATGTATTGCAATATATGATGAAGGTATAGAAATAAATAGACGCAGGATTGCAATGTTCCTTTATGGACCGACGAACCTCGACTGACTGTGGTGTCGATTTCTTTTGTCAGGTCATCACGTGACCGAAGGTTCTAGAAAAATCCTCGCGCCTCGCGCCTCAAGCCTCGCGACAGACGCCACGCGCTTCGTGCTTCGCGCCACACGCCTTCCGCCGCTCAACACATGAACAGTTTACGCTCCCGCATATCCATGTTCATATGCTTGTACAAGGCAGCATGGCTGATCCGTTTCGCGCTCTCGCACCACCCAATCGCAGCGTCGCGACGCGTCATTTCTGCTAGACTGTTCGTCGGTTGGACTCGAGGCAGCGTCTCATTACATTTCCAATGTGTGGCGGGCTCAGAAATTTGAAAGCTTACGAGCATAGGCAGACGACGAACCATGCTGGTGAGTTTCAAAGGCATAACATGGTTTCAATGTTTTGATTTTTCCTATTTATCCAGCTCGAACTAGCCAGTGCCTGAAGAAACATTTGGACAACTATTTAAAAAAGTGCTTTTTCGAAGCAATAGCAACTAAATATCACAATTCACTGCCGAAATTTTTAATCTAGAAACGATATTAGGTAACTACGCATTATTATTATACCATACGGCAACCCGCCGCTTCATTTCACACGTGGAAAGTCAAAATAGACGAAAAATGTGGGCAGCTATTAAAAAAAGTGCTTTTTCAGAGCTGTGTCAACTAAATATCACAATTCACTGTCGAAATTTTGAATCTAGAATCGATATCAGGTAATTACGTATTACCATTGTACCATACGGCGTCCTGCCGCCTCATTTCGTACGTGTCACGTCAAAATCAGAGAAAATTGGATATAATAGAAAACTATCTTTTGTAAGCTAAATAAACTAAATATCGAAATCGTCTATCGAAATCTAGAATCTAAAACCGATAATAAGTATTTGCGAAAAATGGCAATATGATGAAAGTATCGTGATAGTTAAATAATGTATTGCAATATATGATGAAGGTATAGAAATAAATAGACGCAGGATTGCAATGTTCCTTTATGGACCGACGAACCTCGACAGACTGTGGCGACGATTTCTTTTGTCAGGTCATCACGTGACCGAAGGTTCTAGAAAAATCCTCGCGCCTCGCGCCTCAAGCCTCGTGCCAGACGCCACGCTCTTCGTGCTTCGCGCCACACGCCTTGCGCCGCTCAACACATGAACAGTTTACGCTCCCACATATCCATGTTCATATGCTTGTACAAGGCAGCGTGGGCTGATCCGTTTCGCGCTCTCGCACAACCCAATCACGGCGTCGCGACGCGTCGTTTCTGCTAGACTGTTCGTCGGTTGGACTCGAGGCAGCGTCTCATTACACTCCCAATGCGTGGCGGGCCCAGAAATTTGAAAGCTTTCGAGCATAGGCAGACGACGAACCATGCTGGTGAGTTTCAAAGGCATAACATGGTTTCAATGTTTTGATTTTTCCTCTTAATCCAGCTCGAACTAGCCAGTGCCTGCTACGCCAAGTGTTCCAAGAAATGTTTCGCTAGGCAATATTGTTATGGCCAAGCGATAGCCCGCGGCTCTACTTATTGTATTCGGCGAATTTTACGGTCCGCCGCGCATTAAAAGTGGAAGGGGGAGCTGCCTCGCGACGTATCAGCGAACCGTCTAGCGGAAACGACTGCGCGGTGGGATTAGTCTACTAAGGAAACTTGTCGCGACCGGACGTGTCACATTGTACGGATGTAACTAACCGCCGCTTATCTATTGGATAGTATGTTAATTTCTTTTCTCTTATCATTCATACAGCACTGTTTACTTTGTTCGATTAATATGTGCTTGTTTATTAACTTTTTAAACATTATTATATCAAATTTATCTATCTTTTACACCTTTTCTGGTTTCATAATTTGATCGTTGACTAGTAGCTTAAATATATATATGATTGCTTAATTTTATCATAATTAGTTACTGTTTTATATATTTGTTTTAATTTTTGTATTTTTCTTTGTGCAGATCATTAATTTATTGCGAGAATCAAGTATGACGCAATAGACGCCAACGAAGGAATTTGAGAAGCAAACATGGCCGCCAACGGACAAATTTTAAAACCAAAGATGGCCGCCAACGAAGGTAATTGGGAATCAAATATGGCCACCAATGAACGTTTTGGAGAACGAAGCATGTACGCCATGAAGGTTCCTCTTCGAAACTGCCATCTGTCGTGAAAATTTGGTAATATTGAACTTATTACGAAGCCAGAGGTTTGTGAGTACTTCCATTTATTGAATCATCGGTAATTTGTTCGGAAATAAATTCTTTAGATGTGTTATATATCAATAAGAAATTGAAATAACACATTTTACTGCATTTCGGTCGTGAATATTTTGTAACGTCGTTATAATTTGCTCGTGAACAATAATTTTAATTTTTTTCACGAAAGAGTCGCAATTACAGATACGAAATATTTTCGACGCGAACCGAGAAACGGTTACTTGCGCAGTGCGATTGCGCAGTCATATTTTAATGGCTACTAATGAACAATTTCGTATAATTTCTTGCTTTCGGTTTTATTACATTACGATGCTTTTGATATTTTCCATTTATTCGTGGGTATTTCAAATACGTGTTCTGCCTAATACATCTATCATCGACGAAACGGGCGACGGTCGGTCAGGTTTTTATAAACACAGCTGTGGTTTTTTCTAACAAACGTTCGACAGGGAGTCGAACTCTCCACCCACATTCCCCTCTCCCCACTAACTTTTTTTTCTTTCAGGAATCATTGTGGCCGCGCGCAAGGCGGTTGGTAGAGTCAGTGTTTGTTTACGTTTCGAGTATAAGGTTTCCTTCTCAGAGCCCAGTAGCTCTTGCAAAATATAATAATTGCCATACGGGAAGATAGAGTCAG